TGTGTTAAATATTAAAATCAATGTTGTTAAGTGTTTGACACCTCAGTAGCTCTTCTCTACAGTAAACAAAACCCACATTGATGTTGGTCCTTACATAGTTTTTTTTAATTATTATCAATAATCAGTAATAAATATTCCTGTGTTGGTTATTTAGTGAGGGGAGGCCAGGACAGGCCGTGGCTCTGAAGAGCGACAGAAATCTTCTTCATCCAGCGAGATAAATTCAGTCCTTCACTCTAATCCTTCTTGTCCTGTGAAAACAAGTCTCTTCAGAGTTTCCTCTGAAGTGCGTTGCTTCAGCCGTGATACCTCGGCGAACTCTGTTCTCAGCCGACGGTTTAGATTGTTTAATTTAAAAAGTCACATTTATGTTATTGAATAGCTTTTTTACCATCGTCACAAGAAACAAACTGCTAATATTGTAAATAGCTGCGGAGCTGATGTCGCTTTGTATTTTAAAACACTTCCATGTTACAGACATGTTTCCGTGTTGCATCACAACAGTGTATGGCAGCTGTTTTTCAGCGTCGCTGATGTAAAACCAAACAACAACAAGAGACATCAGAGCGGAGTGTGGTCAGCTGCTCCGTTACCCATCGACAAAAAATGTCTTGGCAAACAAATCAAATAGATTTACAGATGAGATGTTTAACCAGACGAGGGCAACGTAAGGCCCGAGGACCAAAAGTGGCACTAAAAGATTGATTAATAAAAAAATGGTAATCAACAACACTTAAGGAAATTTAATTTAAATGTCTTACGCAAAACTAAAAAAAAAACCTGGATTCCCACAAGCACCAACTCTTGTAGTGAAAAAAAAAAACAGTTTGCTGGTGACTGAAGAAGTCCTTTAAATGAAGGACGAAACGTCTCGGGGGAAAAAAAAAAGAAACCGTCCAGATGACCTGATGGAACAATGTTGGATTTGTACCTGGATTATTGAACATGAACTTTGCTGTTTTGAACCATTTTGGCATGGCTGCCTTTAGAGGAGTTGACGGGGAAGAGGGCGGGCCCCAGAAACCATCTTATCACCAGCAAACTGTTTTTTTTTTCGCCACTATGGGAGTTGGTGCTTGTGGGACTCCAGATTGTTTGTGGTTCCTCTGACTCAAGAAGTCCTTTGGATGAAAGACCAAACGTCTCACAAAAAAAAGAAACTGTCCAGATGACCTGACTGAACATTGTTGGATTTGTACCTGGATTGCTGAGCATGAACTTAGGTGTAAAAAAACAAACACTTTTTATGTCGTGTTTCCAGAACTAGACTGAACTTTAAAGTCTTAGAAACCCAAATGTTAGGGATGTACGATATTGAATTTTTATATTATTGATATCCAATATGCCGATATGTTAAAACTTATTTGGCTGATAACCGATACCAATATTTTATTTACTTTACATAGTCCTCTTATTTATTAGGCTTATTTGCTACAAAAACTGTGTAACAGCTGTAAGAGCTGGTGACATATATTCAGTAACAGCCATATGACATACATAGCACTTTACTTATATTAAATGAAAAGTGTTAAATGTTATTTATTAGCATTAGTCACCTGCGATGCTGTCTCACTTGTAGAGGTTTGTTCCAGGTTCCTATAGCTGCAGTGTGGGATCCTCTGCACTCCTGTGCATGAAGGACAGACTTTTTAAGTTCAAAGTTTTTGTCTCTCCATTGTGCCGTAAGACTAATCATGCTAACGGGGCTAACACTTGACGTCCACATGTCTGTGGTAAAAGTCACCCAAGTGCTATCGGCTATTAGCTTCTCAATGACGTCGGAAATGACGGCTTGTAACTCGGTTAAGATTACGTTGGAAAAATATCTCCGATTGGGGACGATGTAGCGAGGCTCAACGTAGTCCAAAAATCTTCGGAATCTAACAGAATCAACGGAAAAAAAACTATCACACCGCCGACATTTTGAATTTTCCTCTTCATCGTGAGATCATGTAGGTGCGCGTGACGTCATCACGTTGTGCTGGCGCTGCAGACGTCCTTGTCACTGTGTTGTCATACAAAAACAGTTCCTTCTATATCGGTGAGTTCTTTTCATGGAATGGCCAATCTCCGATATTTAACTTTAACGCGAATATCTGCCGATGCCGATACCATGCCGATATCGTGCATCCCTAACAAATATACGTTTGTTTTGCATATTTCCCCTAACATGTATAACATGTGAAGCTAATGTGTATAACATATTGTCCCAGGAGCCGGTTTACAGAATGTCTTAAATTTCTAAAGGATCTTGGAAAGACAAAGCCTGAAAAAGGTCTTGTAGATTATCTGTCATAAAGAAAATGTATTTTCCATTTCTGCATGCAGTCCTTTGATTGCTTTAAACGTCTTGATGTGGCCCTTTGGGTTAAAAAAAAGTTGCCCACCTCTGTTAAGCTAAGACCTGGTGTGGTAGTAGCTGAGAGTCATCACTAACAGATCACATGTTTGTTTATAACTTTGGCAGGCGAAGGAATTTATAATATGATTTTTCAGGCCTCATTAAAACTCGAGCTCACATCATTTGAGACGGTTTTCTGAACCGCACCGTCTCTTGAAGCGGGTATCGGAACATTAAATATGTGTTTAGTTAAAGGCAAGTAAAACTAAAAGAAGACGTCTTACTTTTATACTTCAGTTTTTTATGAAGCGCCTAAAAACAGTCGGTAACTCTGAGAAAAGCAACGTTTTAGGTTCTCGGTGCGTCAGGTTGGAGCAGCTTTCAGCGTTTAGAAAGAAACCGTTACAAACGGTGTTGGTCTCAGGTGTGGTGTCATGTTTCCTCGAAGGGCGTTTGCTTCAGAAGTGCTGTCAGACGCAGGTCTGAACTTTCCGTGACCTTGGAAAAATCTGTTTTTGTTTCTGCATAAATCTGCACATCTCGGATGTCAGGAGTGTCTCCTTTCCAGGAAAAGAATTTTCAAATGTACGTTTCCTTTTAAACAAATCTTCAGCTGCTTACAGTCATTTAATTCAATGTTTGGCCTTAGATGCAACACTTTAGTAAACGCCAAGTTAACAAGTGAAAACCTACTGTTCCTTGAAGAAGTGCATATCGCCCGCCACCTTTGATGCCAAATATTTAGACTTAAATGAGCTTACGTTGAGAAATGAAGTTGAAGATGTTTTGGTTAAACCTCAGTCTCTGGAACGATCTTACGAACTTCGACAAAATTCACGTGACAGGTTATCACTCAGACTATGCATTGTTAACGACTCTAAGCTACTGCCACGCCACAGTTGTAGATGTTTTTATACGAAAGGCGGACGTTTTCTGTTATCGCCTCAAACATTCTATTTTCCTGCCCAGAACTTCTGATTCACTTAAGATAATTAACCAAACTTCATACTCGTATGCATCGTCACTAGACAGAGTATCGTATACTTTTCATCCCCCCAGCTTCAAGGTCAAGGTTACAAATCAAGGTCAAAGGTTATACAGGGCAGTGTTTCCCCTACCGTTATACAAGCGCGGCGCCCTATCAACGGAATTGAGCGCCCTTTCTATCAACACCCCCCCCACACACACACACACACACACACCCGGTCTTCTGTAAAAACCGGCAGCGATGTAGTGCTATGCTAGCAGGCGGGCAATACAAACATGTGACATGACGTCTCTCCCCCGTCAACAAAAAAATAAATAAATACCACGAGCGTCCCACTAACGGAGCTGATCTTGGGGAAACTTCAGGATCTTTGCTTGTCCAGGCCACTGCTATAGATTGCTGTCTATATAATGTGTTGTTTGCAGCACTCATGTTTGTGTAGGTTAAGGTCAATTAGCTGTGGCAGCCATCTTGAATTAGGATGTTTCCAAAGGCTAATTAATTGTACGAGCATTCAGTGATTACATTCCAGTGGTTTGAGATATTTTGCTAACACACACACACACAGTCAAAAACATTAGTGCCACCTTTCAACGTTAAATACATCCCTGTTCAGTGTTTCCCCCAACCATTATACAAGCAGGGTGCCCCGCCCTGTCAACAGAACTGAGCTCCCTGCCTAACGAACCCCCTACACCCCCATCGACAGCTGTCGGCCTAACGTAGTGCTAAGCTAGCGGCGTGCAATACAGGCATGCTAGCTAACAAGCTACATAGGGTGCTCTGGTTCCCTCACGCTAAGCCGTTTCCTCCCCCCCCCCCCCCCCCCACCCTCACCCCTCTGCTTGAAAACTGTTGGTACAATCAGCATCCAACAGATGTGTTCCCCCACCCCCCGTTGACAAAGATCTCAGAAGATATGCGCTCCCTGCCAAGGCAAGTGAACTAAGGGAAACACTGCTGTTGGTTTTGATTTGGATGAACCATGATCCCTGTAGACCCCCACCCCCCACCCAGTGAGGAGACCCCCTTACTGATCATAACAAAGACTTCATCTAACTGGAGCTCCCGGCCCGGTGGGACTGCGTGGCAGCGTTGGAGGAGTCCCTGCGAGCACAGCGCCGTGTCAGGTGTCGCAGACATCTGTGCCTGATGGGACGTCGGGCCGCGTTAGTGTCTGAGCTCGATGTGCCGTCGTCGCAACGTCCAGAAGCTCCGTCGGCCTCTCTGAGCGTCAAACCCACAACGCCGTGTTCAAGTTTGTCAGGAGAAACTGGAGCGAGGAGTTGCAGCCGGTGAGCTCAGCTCTGTTGTTGTTCCTGAAAATCAGCGCTCTCTCTTCAGTCCCCCATCTGTTCGCCTCCTCCCTTGCACCTCACCGTCCCTCTGAGCCAGCCATTACCAGTTCACCCCCCCCCCCCTTAAATAGACACATCTGGGGGAGAACATAACTATTTGGCCTGCAGATTGCTGAGGCTCTGAGCCTTTTGGGAGGTCGTTGTGAGTTCAGAGGATGTGCTTTAAGTTTGGATTCTATGTTCGATTATTATTTTTATTAGGGGCGCAATAATCCGGAGCGACCCTGACGTTAATCTGGGAGTTCACCTGATATCATCTTCTTCCAGATAATAATAATGACGTTTTTTTTTTCTGTTTTGTGTCGTTCTGTAGAGAAGCGATGAGGAACTACCTGAAGGAGCGAGGCGACCAAACCGTCATGATCCTGCACGCGAAAGTTGCACAGAAATCCTACGGCAACGAGAAAAGGTGAGTTGATCTGAACTATTTAAACATTCTTTACGCTTTAGTTGTGTCCCAGAACTCTCCGGACTAAATCTGACAGCGAACAAAAACTGAAATGTTTCTGTACAAAATATAATTTCCCCCATGTCTCAGTAGAGCAGGTTGTCTGCTGATGATAAAAGCTTTATAACACAGCGGCTGTGTTAGGAAAGTAATCTTATTGAATTGGTTTATGGTGACAGAAATCCACTTGGGTGTACAAATAGAAGTAAACAAACAAACAAAACAATCCACCTCAGTGTCCAAACGCAGTCAGTTTACAGACATTAGTTAAAAAGTTTTTAAAAATCGAGAAATCTTGAAAATTTGCAATTGAATAATTACTGACAAACTTGAGTTTTATTATTATTTGTTTTTTAAACAAAAACTGTCATTCATTAGAATCCCACTTTATAAAAATCTGAACTATCCTTTTATTAAAGAAATCTTCGACTAGTTGGATCAATATACTTTATTTGATAAAGAATTATTTCAGTTATACCAAAAAAAACAAGGCCATTGTTTAGTTTTTCTGTGATGGACTAGCGACCCGTCCAGGGTGTACCCCGCCCCTCCCACATTGATTGCTGGACATGGGCACCGGTGACCCCCGTGACCCAAAATGGAAGAATCGGGTAAAATATAATGGATGGATGGATGTTTAGTTTTTATAAATAAAATAAAAAACAGAATTATGACACATGGACGTCGTCATTTTATTAACACCGCAATGCATTCTGGGTAAGAAACGTAGACAGGTTGCACTGGTGCAAGCTCCATTCAGCTTGAATGTTAATATTGGACATTATCTGATCTTCAGTCCTTTTTTGTGTCCTGAGATGACTTGTGTTGTGACGTGGCGCTATATAAATGAACTGAATTGAATTGAAACTGAATTTTATTTGAACCCGGGTGCATTGACAGAGAGAATTCAGAAATGACTCGGCAAATAGTGTTAATTCCAGAGCTAATTTATTTATATCGCAATAGCTCAAGAGCTAATAGCTTTAGCTTCAGAACTAATTTATTTTGTGTTAGATTAAGAGCTAATTTCTATTGCATTGGCTCAAAAGCTAATAGTTTTAGTTCCTGAGCTAATTTATAGGGCGTTGGCTCCAGAGCTAATTTTGTTAGCTCCAGTGCTAATATATATGACATTAGCCCTAGAGCTAATATCTATGACCGTAGCACATGAGCCAATACCATTTGCTGTGAAGCTAATTCATATCGCATTAGCTCCTGGGCTAAATATATTCAATTCATAGCTATTTAATGTTATGTTAGCTCCAGCGCTATCAGTGTTAGCTCCATAACCAATTCATATTGCGTTAGTTCAAGAGCTAATAGCTCCAGAACCAGCTCCAGAACCAATTTATATGGCATTAGCTTCAGAGTTAATGTTAGCTCCAGAACTAATTTTGATTGCTTTAGCTCAGGAACTATTTTTTTTTAATAGCATTAGCTCATGAGCCAATATTGTTAGCTCCTGTGCT